CATTCTTTTGCTAAAACCTTATGATGGCTTATGTCTCCACCTAGAGTCAACACCTGTGTCCTTTGCCTGGCCTCCAAGGCCCCTTGGGATTTGGCCACTTCTTATCTCTGGGATTATATCTGCAAAACTCTTCCTCCAGCCTAGTGTTCCTTGAATACGTCAACATGTGCTCCCCTCCAGGCCTTTGCACTTGCTGTGTCCTCTGCCTGGCATTCTGTCCTCCCAGGTGTTCCCTCACCTCCTTCCGGACTTTGTTCAAATGTCACCTTCTCAGTGAGGTCTTCCACCCTATGTAAATCCCATTACCCTCTCTGCTCTCTTATCCCCTTCTAGCCCCCTTCCCTGTAGTATTTTTCTCTACACCACCTTTTATCACCTAACATTTCACTGTGCCTCATAGATTCTAGGGTACGTGTTATCTTTACATTTTATTTCTGAAATCAAGATGCACTGTGTACTAGATGACAAGTTATAGTTTAATTGGCAACTATTTCTCTTTCTTGGTGCATAAAATAATGGTACACTTTTAAATGATAGCATCTTAGATTTGATGAAACACAGTAAGGAGTTGTTATCTGATTCCCCTAGACGCAAATATAAAGTCATGGGGTAGGAATATTTATCTGCCTTCAATTCTGCTCTGTCTCCAGCACCCAGAACAGTGCCTGGCACATGAGACTTCTCAGCACATTTTTGTGTGTTGAATAAATGAATGAATGAATACGTAAATGCCCTCAAAGGTGCATCCAGTTTACTGAGGTAGACAATACTCACAGCTGTGAGCCGGCCCCAGATAAACAGTATATCTTGTTAGAATTAATAATAATCTGCTGGAAGTGTTACACCTCAAAGCTGTGATCCTGGTCCTTTCCCCTCATACCTCACACATGGCCTGGCATGTTCTGAACTGTAATATCCAACATAGCTGTCTATCTCCCTAGGAAACCATGAGCCATTTTGGGGAAGAATCATATCTTACATGCTTCTGTGGTTCCAGAGTCTGCGAAGGGCTTAGGGAGTTTTTATTGAATGAATAAATGAGCAATAGACAAATATTTATATATATGTACATTTATTCTGGGTGCCTGAAGTGTGCCAAGCATTTAATTCACTCTGATCCTCCCAATAGGCGGGTAGGTAGGAGTTGTTTTCCCTGTTTTCCAGATGAGGAAGCTGGTGCTAAACAAGCGAAGTGTCAGCATCGTGCTTTCTTCCTGTCCCCACTCACCGCTGTGCTCTCAGAAACCACCTTTCACTGTCCCAGACCTAGCACAGCTCTGCCACGTTCCAATGCATCCTGATGAATTGTAGCCCCCATAATCCCCATGTGTTGTGGGAGGGAACTGGTGGGAGGTAATTGACTCATGGGGGCGGTTACCCCCATGCTGCTAGTCTCATGATAGTGAGTGAGTTCTCATGAGATCCGATGGTTATATAAGGGGCTTTTCCCACTTTTGTTCGCCACTTCTCTTTGCTGCCACCATGTGAAGGAGGAAGTGTTTGCTTCCTCTTCTGCCATGATTATAAGTTTCCTGAGGCCTCCCCAGCCATGCTGAACTGTGAGTCAACTAAACCTCTTTCTTTTATAAATTACTCAGTCTCGAGTATGCTTTATTAGCATGAGAACGGCTTAATACACTTGGCTACAGGTCCGTTTTGCAAACTGGCATTTGGCATTTCTACCACCCATCAGCACAGAGTCTGGGTAGCCCCTTCCACACACCGACACTGGTGTGTTAGGGGAAGGTGAGCTGACCACCTTCCCAAATCTGACCAGGGCTCATTTTTGGACATGTCAAAACAATAAAGCCTCTGAGGAATGATTAATTAGTTTGTAGTAAATTCTAGGGAGGATGTAGGGGTGAAAACAAAACAGTAAAATATTAAGTCACTTGAAATAATTCCCTTTTCTGTGAGCTTATAGTCAGTTAGGTTAGTTTGTTATAATTTGTTTTCAGTTTAAGGGATATATTTACATAACTCAAAGAAAAATTGTATGGAAAGGTTTACTGAAGAGAAATCATGCTCTCTCCTCACCCCAGCCTCACTGCCTATCCTATATAGGTGACCACTTTGATTAATTTCTTTTTCATCTTTCCATTATTTCTTGTGCACGTATGATCATGTTCACTCCACCTTGCACCTCAAACATGGTGCAATATATACATAGACTATAGACACATATACTTATCCCCCTCTCTCTTACACGAAAGGTAGCATATTATGTACTCTTTTCTGCACCGTGCTATTTTTTTCTCGTAACTGTATAGCCTGGCCATCTCTCTGCATCAGTATAAAGAGATCTTCCTCTTTTTTACACAGCTACATAATATTCCATTGCATAGATAGATTATAGTTCTTTCAGTCTGTTCCCTGTTGCTGGACCTTTGGGTCGTTTAAAATCTTTTGCTGTTGGCTGGGCGCGGTGCCTCACACCTGTAATCCCAGCACTTTGGGAGGCCGAGGTGGGCGGATCACCTGAGGTCGGGAGTTCAAGACTAGCCTGACCAACATGGAGAAACCCCGTCTCTACTAAAAATACAAAAAAAAAAAAAAAAAAATAGCCGGGCGTGGTGGCATATGCCTTAATCCCAGCTACTCTGGAGGCTGAGGCAGGAGAATCGCTTGAACCTGGGAGGCAGAGGTTGTGGTGAGCCAAGACCATGCCATTGCACTCCAGCAGCCTGGGCAAAAAGAGCAAAACTCTGTCTCAAGAAAAAAAAAAAACTTTCGCTATTACAAAGAGGGTCAAAATGAAGACTCTTTTTGTGGGTCATTTTGTACTTGTACAGATTTCTGCAGGTGTATCTGTGGGATAGACAGCTTCAAGGAGAATTACTCGGTTGAAGGGTAAAATGCGTTTATGTTTTTACTAGATATGACTAAATTCCTTCCATCGGGTTTCTGCCATTTTACATTCCCACGAGCAAGGTGAGAGAGAGCCTGTTTCCCCATAATCTCACCAACAGCATTTGTTGGCAATTTTTTTAAACTTTTGCAAATTTAGTGGAGGAGAAATAACGCAGTTTTCTACCTCACTTGGAATTAATTACTTGTTCAGTTCCTGAGTTCCTTGGGAGAGTGCTGGCTCCCAGAAGGTGGAACCATGTGGGGACCATCATTATGCTCAGTACATAACATAGAACCTAGTGCTTAATATAACTAACACAGAATGGGAATTCAACAACAGAAAAATCAAATAACCCAATTTGAAAAGGAGAAAGGACTTGAATAGACATTTCTCCAAAATTAATATACAAATGGCCAGCATCCATGTGAAAAGATGTTCAACATTACTAATTATCAGAGAAATGCAAATCAAAACCACAATGAGATACCACCTCACACATATTTGGATGATGGCTATCAAAAAACCACACAAAATAACTAGTGTTGGTGAAGATGTAGAGAAATTGGAACTCGTGTGCGTTGTTGGTGGGATTATAAGCACTTCCTTAGCAAGTGTTGATGTGAACAGTATAGTAGTTCCACTAAAAAATTTAAAATGTAACTACCATATGACCTAGCAATTGTACTTCTGGGCATATATTCAAGATAATTGAAAGCAGGTTGTTGTTCTTGTTGTTTTGTTTTGTTTTATTTTGTTTTGTTTTGTTTTGTTTTGTTTTGTTTTTGAGACAGAGTTTTGTTCTTGTTGCCCAGGCTGGAGTACAATGGCACGATCTCAGCTCACCTGCAACCTCCATCTCCTGGGTTCAAGCAGTTCTCCTGCCCCACTCTCCCGAGTAGCTGGGATTACAGGAATATGCCACCACGGCTGGCTAATTTTGCATTTTTAGTAGAAATGGGGTTTCTCCATGTTGGTCAGGCTGGTCTCGAACTCCTGACCTCAGGTGATCCACCTGCCTCAGCCTCCCAAAGTGCTCCAATTACAGGCATGAGCCACCACGCCCTCCCTGAAAGCAGTTTCTTAAAGAATTACTAGTACACTCATGTTCATGGCAGCCAGCACTGCTCACAATAGTGAAGAGGTAGAAGTAACCCAAATGTCCATCAACAGATGACTGGATAAGCATAATGTAGCATGCCCATACAATGGAATATTATTCAGCCTTAAAAAGAAAGGGGGATCTCTTAGCCCAGGAGTTCGAGATTACAGTGAGCTATGATCACACCACCGCACTCCAGCCTGGCAACAGAGTGTGACCTTACCTCCAAAAAAACAACAACAAAAAAAGAATAAAATTCTGATATACGCTACAACACAGATGGACCTTGAAGGCATTGTTAAGTTCAGTAAGCCAGTCACAAAAAGACAAATACTGTATGATTCCACTTATATGAGGTATCTAAAGTCATCAAATTCGTAGAAACAGAAAATACAGTGGTGGTTACTAGGGGCTGCAGGGAGGGGAAAAAGGAAGTTATTGCTTAATAAGTGTAGAGTTGCCAGGTGTGGTGGCTCACGCCTGTAATCCCAACACTCTGGGAGGCCGAGGCGGGCAGATCACGAGGTCAGGAGATCGAGACCATCCTGGCTAACATAGTGAAACCCCATCTGTACTAAAAATACAAAAAATTAGTGGTGGCGGGTGCCTGTAGTTCCAGCTACTTGGGAGGCTGAGGCAGGAGAATGGCGTGAACCCGGGAGGCAAAGCTTTCAGATTTGCAAGATGAGAATGTTCAGTAGATCTCTTTTACAACAATGTGCGTGATGTTTAATACCACTGAAATTGCACTTAAAAGCAGCAAAGATGGTAAACTAAAGGGTTTTTTTTTAGCATAGTTTTGTTTATTTAAAAAAAATTCATAGGATAAGTCCTCAATAAAAATTTGGCAAATGATTAAACCAATCAACGAATGAACGAACGACAAATGAGTTATTGGAAATGTTAACAACTTGGCCTATCTTCCTGCCAGGATGCCTCCCTCTTATCTGGAGTGGTGTTTTCTCCATACTGTCTCCGTGAACCAGATTCCCTGACACTTGGTTCCCCCCTCTGCTCCGCTTATGTTCTCCTTGTTTCCATCCCCAACAGGGAGGCGCCCAGATCAGCCTGGCGGAGGTCTGCAGGTCTGGGGAGAGGTCGACTCGCTGGTACAACCTCCTCAGCTACAAATACTTGAAGAAACAGAGCAGGGAGCTCAAGCCAGTAGGAGTCACAGCCCCTGCCCCAGGGCCTGCAAGCACGGTGAGCTGGGACCAGGTGTGCCACCCTCCCACAAGGCAGCACCTGGATGTTGGAAGGGAAAGCCTCTCCCAGAACTGGAGGTGGTCCGGCAGCACAAGAGGAGAAAAATGGGGTGGAGGAAGTAGGAGAAGAAGACAGGGAAGGAGAGATCTCCACTAAGGGGCAGGCGGCTCCCCTTCCACAACTGCTTTCTTCCACATCCGTGCTTCCTCCTGTCCTTTGTTCTACCTAATACCACTTGGCTAACGAAAACTTAATTCATGATTTTTTACAAATGAAATGGAGAAGGAGATAGAAAACTGTGGAAGGTAAAAGATGAACCTTTCTTGGACCCCTACTTTGTTCAAGGTCCACAGTGGAGGCTTTGTATAAGAGGCAGCTGGAAGTCATGGGAAGAGAATCAGAGGGCTAGGTCAGTCATATCGCCTCTCTGAGCATCCAATTTTTAATGTCTAACATGAGCCTTAAAAGGTTGTTATGAGGATGGGCACGGTGCCTCATGCCTATAATCCCAGGACTTTGGGAGGCCGAGGCAGGAGGATCTCTTGAGGCCAGGAATTCAAGACAAGCCTGGGCAACATGGTGAGGCCTATCTCTACAAAAATAATAATAATAATAATAATTAATTATTAAAAAGAGAAAAAAGTTTTTATGATGCTTTGAAGAAATATATGTAAAGAGCACTTGGTAACTCTTCCATTATGACTTTGTTACTTGAAAATCTTGGCCGGGCATGGTGGCTCATGCCTGTAATCCCAGCACTTTAGGAGGCTGAGGCAGGAGGATCTCTTGAGTAGATCTCTGAGTTCAAAACCAGCCTGGCCAACATGGCGAAACCCTGTCTCTACTAAAATTCCAAAAATTAACCAAGCATGATGGCAGTCATCTGTAATCCTAGCTACTAGGGAGGCTGAGGCAGGAGAATTACTTGAACCCGGGAGGCAGAGGTTGCAGTGAGCCAAGATTACACCATTGCACTCCAGCCCAGGCAAGAGAGCAAGACTCCATCTAAGAAAAAAAAAAAGAAAAGAAAAGAAAAAAAAATCTTACATTTGCCTATTTTCAGTGAAAAAATATGTTTTTTCATTTTAGTTAGTGCAGTACGCTTTAACGTATTAAAATATCCTTAAACTGTCTCCCCCATTTGGAAAGCCCACACCTACTGGCCAGGCAGACTGGTCAGGACTCAGTTGAGCAGTGAAGTTAGTCTTACATATAGGGTATTGGACTCCTATGGGATCCTGACCACATCAAAAAGTTAGAGAGAGTGTTTTGGATTCAGGTTTTCTTGTAATTCTCTGTAGTGATCCTTTCCTCTCTGTAGAGGTTGTTCCTTCTGTCGGTACTTGGTTGGTTTGGACAGCCACTGCCTAGAATTTCTATGCAGAGGATAGGTTGGGACATACAGGTAAAGATAAGGGTAGCAAATAGATAAATTAAGTCTATTTTCTTTTTCTCTTTCTCCTCCTCCTCTCCTTTCCCTCCCCACCCCCACCTTCTTTTTCATCATCATCATCATCATTTTCTGTACTTCCTTTTGCATCAGGCAGTATTCCGTTTATTATGTACAGTTTACCAAGTCTCAGAGAGATAACCAAATTACATTAAGATGTACATCTCCTCAGTAAAGCTAGGTCTCAAACTCAGGTCTCTCACTCCAAAAAGAGACAGTACATTATGCATTATGTTATTGATGGTTCACATGTTGGTCTGTTGATGCTGTGGTCTCCTTACAGTCAGAGACCTTAATTCTCTCTCACTTCACTGCTAAACTTGGCTGTCTTCCACCACGATGCTGAGTATGTTCGTACATACAGGGGCTATTCTCTGGAGAACTGCTAGTTGGGGAAATTAAGGACAATTTTTCCAGTTTATCAGTGACCTTGGGCAAGACACTTGACCACTCTGGTCTTTGGTTTGACCATCAGTTCACTGGGAGGGTCACAGGTCTGAGATGCTCTGATTCCTGGCAGGTAGGGTGGCACCTACCTTGTACCCAGTGACCCAGCAGCCTTTGTCTCTATAGGACGCTGTGTCTGCTCTGTTGGAACAGACAGCGGTGGAGCTGGAGAAGAGGCAGGAGGGCAGGAGCAGCACACAGACACTGGAAGACAGCTGGTGAGTGAGCACACCCTTGGGCCCCAGAAGCTGCCCTGCCTGGATCTAGGCCCAGCAATGAGATCCCCAAATGCCAGTGCAACTAAGAGAAGGGTTCCACTGGGAAGACTGAGAACCCCTCTCCTCATGGGTTCTCTACAGGCAAAAAGGCAATGTAACCTAGTACGATGGTTCCCAGAATTCCTTTCGAATTTGCCATTTTGTTTCCCATGAATCACCTATGCTAGTTCATACCTAGTGTTATTCTTTATCTTGATATAGTGACATTTATTTTGCTAAAAAAAAAAAAAAAAAAAAAAAAAAAAAGAGAAACTTTATGTTACTCTAAATGAAAAATTTGTGTAGTTTGCCATAAAGTAAAGAGTCCTTGGGAATTACATTGGACTTTCAGGAATGGAGAACAGAAATATTAGACAGAAATAAGATAGAAGTTTACTTCTTCTTCACTTAAGAATAAGAGGGCCAGGAGTGGTAGCTCATGCCTGTAAATCCAACACTTTGGGAAGCCGAGGTGGGCGGATCACGAGGTCAGGAGTTCAAGACCAGCCTGACCAACATGTTGAAACCCCGTCTCTACTAAAAATACAAAAATTAGCTGAGCATGGTGGTGCACGCCTGTAATCCCAGCTACTCAGGAGGCTGAGGCAGGAGAATCACTTGAACCCAGGAGGGGGAGGTTGCAGTGAGCTGAGATTGCGCCACTGCACTCCAACCTGGGTGATAGAGCAAGATTCTGTCTCGAAAGAAAGAAAGAGAGAGAGAGAGAGAGAGAGAGAGAGAGAGAGAGACAAGGGGAGGGGAGAGGAAGGGAGGGGAAGGGGAAAGAGAAAAAAGAAGAAAAAGAAGAAGAAGAATGTAATCCCAGCTATTCGGGAGGCTGAGGCAGGAGGCAGGAGGATTGCTTGAACCCATATGAAACCTCATCTCAAAAACAATTTTAAAATAATGGGAGAGGCCGAGCATGGTGGCTCACACTTGTAATCCCAGCACTTTGGGACCCCAAGGCGGATGGATCACCTGAGGTCAGGAGTTTGAGACCAGTCTGGCCAACATGGCAAAACCCCATCTCTACTAAAAAATACAAAAATTAGCCAGGCACGGTGGTGGGCACCTGTAATGGGGTATTTTGCAAAATTCAGTAAAATTATGCATGATAAGCACTTAACACAGACCCTGACCTAGAGGAAGCATTCAATAACACTTCCATATTATTATTCTCTTAGAGCCCCAAATTATGTATTTAGTCTCAGCTACTCAGGAGGCTGAGGCAGGGACAATTGCTTGAACCCAGGAGGACAAGGTTGCAGTGAACCGAGATTGCGCCACCGCACTCCAGCCTAGGTGACAGAGTGAGACTCTGTCTCAAAAAAAGAAACAACGGAGGAAGCAATCCAAGGCTATCCAATTCTGTCAACCCCACGGTGTTATTGGAAATCCAGGCTCCTTTCCTCTGTCTGCTTTGCTGTCTTTACTATGTGACCTCCATCACCCAGGCTGCTTTATAGCCCAAGATGGCTGCTGGATCACCAGCCATCAGGCAGGTAACCATCAGGAAAAAGGAAAGGTAAAAGAGAGCATGCCTGTGTACCTTTTAACTAAGAAGCATTCCTGAATGTCCCGCACAGCAACTTCTGCTTGCTTCTCATTGGCCAAGCTTAGCCACTTAGCCTGCCTAACTGCAGGGAGATTGGAGAATGAGATCTGTTATTTGGGTACAAAAATCAAATTTCTGTTACTAAGGGAAAAAGTGGATACTGGGTAGACCAAGAGCCAAGTCTGCTTCAAAAGGTAACTGTGGAAAACACAATGTCATGAAAATAAAGCAATATTATTAAAGTCTAGTTAGAGAGATTGCTTGCTAAGCCTGAGCCTTCTCTCCCGTTATTTTAACAAAAAAAAAAAGGTTAGCAAGTGTTTCAGCAATGTTGAAGACATGCTATTGCCAGAGACTTTCTCCTTGTTGTAATCAAAATGTCTGAACAAGAATTGAAAAGGGGACAACTTTCTCACTTTGTGATTCGGTGCTATTGAATTCCTTGTATTATGAGAAAGGCCTCATCATACACTTTAAGAGGCAATGACAGAGACTAGGGTTTGAATCTTGGATTCTTCATGTTTTTGTGTCACCTTAGGCAAAGTATTTTTGAAACTTTTTATGGTAGTGTAAAATTCTTACAGAAAATTCACCTAAGCAGAGAGCTCAGTGAATTTTCGGAAAGCAAAACTCTGTAACTAGCATCAAATCAAGAAGCAGAATGTGACCAGCACCACAGAAGCCGACACCTTGTGTCACTGCCGGGCAAGTCACTCTAACCTTGTCTGAGCCTCATCTGAAAACTGAGGAAATAATACTGACTATATAAAGTTACTGAAAGAGACTCAAGGGAAAGGCACTGATGAAGATCAAGTGCAAAGCACACAGTAGACCCTCAATACGTGGTCGAAATTATTGTTAGGAAAGAGAGAAGGAACATTCCTCACTACTGGCTGGAAATACGGTAAATCCCACGTAGGAAATGGCCACAGCCTATGAATCTTGCCATTTGGAAGGAAGAATAAGTTGGTCTTAAGTGCCTGTGCTTTAAATTCAGACAGATATGGATCTGGAGTCTAGCTCAGCCAACTTCCTTCTGGGATTCTGTTTCTGATCAGTAAGACCTTATTGAGCATTAGTAAGTTTTAAAAGCTCCCTGGGTGATTCTAATGTGGAGCCTGGGCTGAATATCACAGCTGTAAACTTCCGTCTCCTCATCTGTGAAACAGAGATTTAGAAAACAACTACTATGTCATGGGGTATTTTGCAAAATTCAGTACAATTATGCATGATAAGCATTTAACACAGACCCTGACCTAGAGGAAGCATTCAATAACGCTTCCATATTATTATTCTCTTAGAGCCCCAAATTATATATTTAGTCTCAGAAGGCACCCTTCCTTAATATCTTTTACTCCAGAGGTCAGCAGATGATTTCTGGAAAGGGCCAGATGGTAAATATTGTTTGCCTTGTGGGCTGTAGGAATTCTGTTGCATCCCCTCACCTCTGCTGTTGCAGTGTGAAAGCAGCCATAGGCAGTATTTAAACCAATGACAGTGTCTGTGTTCCACTGAAATGTCATTTATGGACACTGAAATTTGCATTTTATATAATTTGCACCTTTTCACCAAGTATTCCCCTTTTGATTTTTTTTTTTCAGTCATTTTAAAATATAAAAACCATTCATGGCTTAGACTGTCCAAAACAAAGCAGCAGGCAGGATTTGGCCCACAGGCTATAGTTTGCTGATCCTTGTTTTACTCTTCTCCCTTACTATTTTTTTCATGTGATAAAGCGGATGGCAAGGTTCCTGGAATTTTTGTATGTTCCTTTGTTAGTTTAGGGTTCTCTCTAAATTGTCTCAATTTCTCTCTCCCCCTCCTTCTCTCTCTCTCTCTCTCTCTCTCTCTCTCTCTCTCTCTCTCTCTCTCGTCTGTCCACACCGACCCCTGGCCATCTCCCTCTCTCTTTCCTTTCCTCTCTCTTTCTCTGCCTCTCTCTCTTTCTCCCTGGCACACTGCTGTGCCACACTACTACGGATCACACAGGCAAAGGTCTGATGCCAGAAATAGGCCCAGGACCTGTCTCCCAAAACCCTGGCACAAGATCAGTGGTTTCCACCAAATTCCAAGCTTGTGCTGAGACTTTTCAAGCCGTCTCCTAGCAACCGCCTTCTGTTCCTTCTCCCTTTGTGGCCCCCTGTCTCCACACCCCCTGCCATTCAAACTTCCCTTACAAAGAGGGCTGGGGATCCCAGAGCTGCTGTAGTGGGGTAAACCATCTGCAGCCCCCTCCCCCAAGACTGGAAGCTTCTCTTGGTCCTGGGATGTTAACTGGCCTTGCCATGCCTGCTCATCTCTGGAGTCTTGGGTTCTGGTCTGCAAAAGGCTGTCCGTCTGTTCCAATTTACAGTCCTTCCTCGGCACCCAGTACCCAGCATGTCACTGGTCCTCCTTCTTTTTATTTTATTTGTTCTTTTATGTCTTTAAATCATATAATCAGAAGACTGGATTTTTTTTTTTTTAATCCACAAGCAAAATAAAACTAAGAGTGTTAGAAAATACAGGAGAATATAACACCAAACAATACTAGAGGGAAAAATCTTTGTATTTGCCTCCTTGGGAACTTGTATTTGTCTAGGGCAGATGCTGAGAAGTGGCATTGCTGGATCCCAGGGCGTGTGTTTTTTATATTTTAATAGACATCATAGAGCAGTTCTCAAATAAGATTTTATTAATAAATGTTTCCACCAGCAGTGATTGAGTACCCTAATCTACAGCCTCTCTGACAATGTAATCAATGTAATCAAACTGCTGTAACTTAATTAAGGATATGTACATTTTTTGTTTTAACAGATAAGGCTAAATTGCCTTCAGAATGTAAATTGACTGCTCTCCTTTACACTTCCCACAGCGATATGCCTGTTTCTGTACCTTCACCAGCACTTGATATTATCAGATGTTTTTTCCACTTTGCCACTCCAGTGGATGAAAAGATATTGTTGATTTTAATTATTTTTCTCCTTACAATTAAAATTAAGTTGGGTTTTTTTGTTTGTTTGTTTTTTGTTTTTTGGTCTCAGCCTCCCAAGTGGCTGGGATTACAGGCATGCGCCACCACGCCCAGCTAAGTTTGTATTTTTAGTAGAGATGGGGTTTCTCCATGTTGGTCAGGCTGATCTCGAACTCCCGATCTCAGGTGATCCACCCGCCTCAGCCTTCCAAAGTGCTGGGATTACAGGCGTGAGCCACCACGCCTGACCAACAACTCTTTTATTTGTAGACAGAGAGGCTGCTGGGGCCAAGGAGGAGAGCCAAGGCCCCTCCGCAGAGCAGTCCTCATCTAAGTACAGAAGAGGTTTGAATTGCAGAGTTGTGAGTAGAGATCCAAAATGCATTCTCCCCATTGGGAAAATCCTCAGGGAGATTTTGTGTTTCCCCACGCGTTCGCCGAGCCAGCTAGCTGGATGTTGGATTCTCTGCTTTTGGCTGGGATTCTTTTGGCTCAGTATGATAACACTGTCTCATGCTGATCAGAAGCCGGGCAGTTCTGTATGTCTTTCAGAAGTCAAGATGGGAGTAGAGATAAATTACTACTTAACAAATGTAGCCTATTTGTCACACCAAATCCTTCCAACCTTAGAGTCCAAGGGAAATGGAGAGTTTTAAGGACTATCACCAAAAGTCTCTTCAGCAAATGGTGTTGGAACAATTAGATATTCATATGGAAAAAAAATAAACTTGGACACTTGTATCATGTATAAAAATTAATCTGTGGCCGGGCGCGGTGACTCAAGCCTGTAATCCCAGCACTTTGGGAGGCCAAGGTGGGCAGATCACGAGATCAGGAGATCAAGACCATCCTGGTCATCATGGTGAAACCCCATCTCTACTAAAAATACAAAAATCAGCTTGGTGTGATGGCACATGCCTGTAGTCCCAGCTACTCAGAAGGCTGAGGCAGGAGAATGACGTGAACCAGGGAGGCAGAACCGAGATCGCACCACTGCACTCCAGCCTGGGCGACAGAGCAAGACTCCATCTCAAAAAATAATAATCATCATCATCTCAAATGGGTTATTGAGCTACACAAAAAAAACTGAAATTATAGAAGTACTGAAAGTGTAAGAAAGAAACTGTTCAAAACTTTGAGGTAGGCAAAGATTTCTTAGGACATAAAAAGCACAAACTATAAATGAAAAAAATCAGTAAATTGGGCTTTATCATAATCAAAAACTTACAATCTTTGGAAGACACCACTTAGAAAATGAAAAGGCAAGCCACAGAGTTAGAGAAAATCATGCAGTCCACATACCTGACAAAGGATTCATAGCTCAAATATATTAAGATTTCTTACAACTCAATAATAAGACAACCCAATTTTTATTTTTATTTATGTATTTGTTTATATTAAGACAGAATTTTGCTCTTGTTGCCCAGGCTGCAATCTCGGCTCACTGCAATCTCCACCTCGTGGATTCAAGCGATTCTCCTGTCTCAGCCTCCTGAGTAGCTGGGATTACAGGTGCATGCCACCACGCCCGGCTAATTTTTGTATTTTTAGTAGAGGCAGGGTTTTATCATATTGGTCAGGCTGGTCTCGAACTTCTGACCTCAGGTGATCCACCCATCTCAGCCTCCCAAAGTGTTGGGATTATAGGCGTGAGTCACTGTGCCTGGCCAACAACCTGATTTTTAAGGGGCTGGAGATTCTAACAGACACTTCACCAAAGAAGATGGTCATAAATGCATGAAGAGTTTCTCAACAAGAAAATGCAAATTAGGCCAGGCTCAGTGGCTTACACCTGTAATGCTCACACTTTGGGAAGCTGAGGCAGGAAGATTTCTTGAGGCCAGGAGTTCAAGATCAGCCTGGGAAACAAAATAAAACCCCATCTCTGCAAAAGATTTACAAAATTAGCCAGGCATGGTGGCACGTGCCTGTAGTACTAGCTACTTGGGAGGCTGAGGTGGGAGAATCAACCACCTGAGCCCAAGAGTTCGAGGCGACAGTGAGCTATGATCACACCATGGCACTCCAGCCTCAACCTTGGCGACAGAGCAAGACCCTGTCTCTAAAAACAAAGAAAAAAGAAGAAAATGTACATTAAAACCCAACAAGATGCAAGTACACACCCAGTAGAGTGTCTAACTATAAAGATGAACGACACCAAGTGTAGTGAGGAACTAGAACTCTTAGAACATTGCTCAGGGGAAACATAAAATGGCAAAATCACTTTGGAGCAGCCATTTGTCCATGTTTTTTGTTGTTGTTGTTGTTGTTGTTGTTGTTGTTGTTGTTGTTTAGACAGAATCTCACTCTGTCGCCCAGGCTGGAGTGCCGTGGTGCTATCTCAGCTCACTGCAACCTCCGCCTCCTGGGTTCAAGCAATTCTCCTGCCTCAGCCTCCTGAGTAGCTGGGATTACAGGCGCCCACCACCACGCCCGGCTGATTTTTGTATTTTTAGTACAAATGAGGTTTTACCACGTTGGCCAGGATGGTCTTGAACTCCTGCCTTGGCCTCCCAAAGTGCTGGGATTACAGGTGTGAGCCACCACGCCCAGCCTGTTGGTGTCTTAAAAGGGTACGTTTACACTTACTGTATGACCCAGTAATTCTGTTATCTGTTAGGGGCTGATTTGTATCCCCCCAAAATTCATACATTGAAGCCCTAACCCCCAGTACCTCAGGATGTGACTGTATTTGGAGGTAGGGCTTTTAAAGAGGTGGTTAAGTTAACACGAGGCCATTAAAGTTGGGATGGGACCTCAGACGAGGATATTTGGACACACAGACACCAGGGATGCGCACGCACAGAGGACAGACCATGTGAGCACACTGCGAGATGGCAGCCATCTGCTAGCCAGGGAGAGGGGCCTCAGGTGAATCAAACCTGCTGACACCTTGAGTGTGGATTTCCAGCCTCCAGAGCTGCCAGAAATCAATTTCTGTTGTTTAAGCCACCTAGTATGTGGTGGTTTATTTTGGCAACCCTAGCAATATCCAACAGAAATGAAAACCTATATTCATGCATAGACTTATACATGAATGTACAAGAAGCTTTATTCATACTTGCTTGGAAATGTAAGTAATCCAAATGTTCATCAGCTGAACTCTCCTTCTCTCCTTCCTCCTCCTCCTCCTCCTCCTCCTCCTCCTTCTCTTCCTCCTCCTTTTCCTCAACCACCCGCCTCATTCCAAGGTTTGGAACCCCTACCCTGGGTGCATTTAAAGGCAGGTGAACAGATCTAAATATGTTGCAATATATCCATCCAATGGAATATTAATGATAAAAAGGAGTGAACTATCTGGGCATGGTGGCTCACACCTATAATCCCAACACTTTGGGAGGCCAAGGTGGGTAGATTGCTTGAGTCCAGAAGTTTGAGACCAATCTGGGCAACATACCAAAACTCTGTCTCTACAGAAAATAGGAAAATTAGCCAGGTGTGGTGGCACACACCTGTAGTCCCAACAACTCAGGAGGCTGAGGCAGGAGGATCACTTGAGCCCACTGGTGGAGGCTACAGTGAGCCAAGATGGTCCCACTGCACTCCAGCCTGGGTGACAGAGTGAGACTCTGATTCAAAGGAAAAAAAAAAGGGAGGAATGAACCGCTGATGCATACAGCATCATGGATAAACTTCAGAAACTTTATGCAGACACAGAGAAGTCAGAGACAAAATAGCGTATATTGTCTGATTCTATTTGCATGAAACTCTAGAAAAGTCAAACCTAATCTATAATAACAGCTAATCGGTGGCTGCCTAGCAGGAGATTAAACTGGGAAAAGGTAGGAGGGAATTCTAGTGAGGAATGGAATGTTCTACATCTCAAGCGCAATAGTGGTTACATAGGTGAATACATTCGCCAAAACTCATCAAACTATACACTGAAAATGCATTTGTTGGAAACAAATTATGCCTCATTAAAAAAATTTTTTTTGTTTTGAGACAGAGTTTCGCTCTTGTTGCCCAGGCTGGAGTGCAGTGGCGCGATCTCGGTTCACTGTAACCTCCACCTCCCAGGTTCAAGCGATTCTCCTGCCTCAGCCTTCTGAGTAGCTGGGACTACAGATGCACACCACCATGCCTGGCTAATTTTTGTATTTTTAGTAGAGATGGGGTTTCACTATGTTGGCCAGGCTGGTCTTGAACTCCTGACCTCAGGCGATCCGCCTGCCTCGGCCTCCCAAAGTGCTGGGATTACAGGCATGAGCCACTGCGTCTGGCCCCCCAAAATTTTTTTTTTAATGTATCCTCAATCGTCAAAAGGATTGGAAGCCCTCCCTTGGATGTACTTAAAGGCAGGTGAACAGAGGCAGAGTGGCTTCTAGGTGGGTAACCAAAGTACTTTGTCATCACAGGAGGTACGAGGAGACCAGTGAGAATGAGGCAGTAGCTGAGGAAGAGGAGGAGGAGGTGGAAGAGGAGGAGGAAGAAGAGGATGTTTTCACTGAGAAAGCCTCACCTGATATGGATGGGTACCCAGCATTAAAGGTAGGAAGGGCTGGGGGGATGGAAGGGCTGTTGTGGAGAAAGAGCCTTCAATTCTTGTGCTGAAGCAGTCAGAAAAGACTCAGAGCTAAGTCTTGGCCTCCAGCATCAGGGCACAAGCCCTCACAATGGAGTCACCTCTGGGTCATTCTGGTGGTGGTAAACCAGGAGAGGCCAACTCACCCACCTCTTTTCTTCTGCCCTCTGCATTTTCCCTGACTTCTCTGGATAGAATTCAAGCCTTGCAGTCAGATGGGTTTGGGTTCGAATTCTGGTTCTGATACTCCCTGGCTGTGTAGTCTTAGGCAGATGACTTCATCCCTCTCAAGCCTCCATTTTCTCATCTCTAAAATGGGCACAATAATACCAACCGTGCAGATAGCCTCTGAAAATGTATTTCTTTATGCGGGTCTGCCCACAGTGCGACAGGAAAAAGGCCAGACTCCCTTTGCTGCCTGCTCCCCTGCTGCACTAGGGTCACATGTTACAGCAGGATTCACTCTCCATAGACAGCTGGCTCCAGGACTCCTGGAGTTAGAGCACCTGCCGTGTTTGAGCGAGGCTGCAGCTGGAGTACCGCACAGAGGTGCCTGGCCACGGCGGGTGCAGTAGGATCTGGGCCCCAGTTCTAACTCCTCCACACCAAGGGGGCATCATTTTGCAATTTCTCCAGCCAGAGGGGGTGCCCTTTCTTAAAATTATATAAAGGCACTATTTAGGCTGACAAAGGTCCTGCATGTAGGTGTTTTTGTTTGTTTATGTTTTCCTGATGACTACTGTGCACGGGCAGTAAAAAACCTGATGGGTTGGTTTTAAAAACAAGACTAGCTGGTTGCCTTCAGAATTCAATGAAAGCAACTGTAGTACTTTGCCAGGGCTGTGGAAGCCTTGGGTGTGGTTTTTCAAAATGGACTTGGTTTATAGGTTTTGAGAGTGTGACGTCCAGGACGTTGGATATCGCACTCTCAAAACTTTGAGACACCTCTACTGCTCATGTGAGTTTGTTTGGAGGCTGAATGTGCTCCCACCAGCCCCCAACCACACGTGCCAGAGAGGGGTGGGGGTCGGTACACCCAGCCTTGGGTACTGTCCTGACTTCACCAGGCTGAGCTCATCTAGCAGGGCTAATGCCAAGGAAACCCTGGTGTGTCTGTGGGGAAAGGTGAGGTGACAGGAGGGAGGAGGAGCAGCTGAGTGGTCTCTGATAGGTGGCTGAGACTCTGTGAACGCTAGTGGCTTCAAGGTGTGACTTCTTCCTCAGGTGGACAAAGAGACCAACACGGAGACCCCGGCCCCATCCCCCACAGTGGTGCGACCCAAGGACCGGAGGGTGGGCGCTCCGTCCCCGGGGCCATTTCTTCGAGGGAGCACCATCATCCGCTCTAAGACCTTCTCCCCGGGACCCCAGAGCCAGTACGTTTGCCGGGTAAGTAAGCGTGCAGACCCCTTCTGCTCCCCTCAGAATAGCCAAGAGCCTCACACAGGGCTGGGTGCAAATCCCATTACTCTCATGTTATTGGGTGACTTCGGGCATGTTAACATCTCAGAGCCTCAATTTCCTCAGGTGGAGTTCACGGGCCTACTTCATAGGATTGTTGTAGACAAGCAATAGAAAAGGCTTGGTAGTTAGTACTTGGTCAATGTTATTATAATTCCAACCAACTCACTTCCTCCTTGTTCACACTCTGCCCTGCCCTCCTGCAACCACTTGCTGAGATCAGAGGGGGACCCCTCAGTGTCCCCGAGACACACAGGCGTTTCTTTCCCACCTCCAGGGCAATTCTAGGGTACAGCCTGAGGCTGCCAAATTACAGCAGATCTGTATTATTTGGCTTCTAGTTTGTTTTATTTTTTTAATTGAACCTGCTGCTAACATTTAAAACTTATTAAAAAGGTGGCCAGATGCAGTGGCTCACACCTGTAAGCCCAACACTTTGGGAGGTTGAGGCAGGAGGGTCACTTGAGGCCAGGAGTTTAAAACCAGCCTCATCCACATAGTGAAACACTGTCTCCACCTAAGAAATTAAAAATTAGCTGGGCATGGTGGCATGCACTTGTAGTCCCAGCTAGTGGGGAGACTGAGGCAGAGGAATTGCTTGAGCCCGGGAGTCCAGTGCTGCCCTGAGCCATGTTTGCACCACAGCACTCCAGCCTGGGCAGCAGAGTAAGACCTGTCTTTAAAAAAAAATTATTTTTAACCTAAAGGGCAATTAAAAATAAAGCCGGGCAGAGTGGCTCATGCCTGTAATCCCAGCACTTTGGGAGGCTGAGGTGGGCAGATCACTTGAGGCCAGGAAGGAGTTCAATAACAGCCTGGCCCACATGTTGAAACCCTGTCTCTACTAAAAATACAAAAAATTATCCGGGCATGGTGGCACATGCCTGTAATCCCAGCTACTTGGGAGGCTGAGGCAGGAGAATCCTTGAACCTGGGAGACGGAGGTTGCAGTGAACCAAGATGGCACCATTGCACTCCAGCCTGGGCGACAAGAGGGAAACTTGGCCTCAAACAAATGAAATAAATAAAATAAAATAGGAAGAGTTTGACATAAAATTCCAGTTCTTCTTGAAAAAAAGAGACTGTATGTCACCACAGACCACACACAATTGGCAGCAATTGGCTGGCATCAAGGTGGGGGCAACTGTCCTTAGTTGATGGAGGTGGGGAGCTTTCCAGTCCACTCTGGCCTCTACCTGGCCCTCTTTACCTGTTTCATTTGCCCACCAGCTCCTGTATACCCAGAGGAATGTGCAAGCCCTGCAGTGGTCTTTGTTCCTTCATACCCTCACTTTCCTTGCTTTCCAGTTCCCCTACCCCTTCCCCTTCCTAGGCCAGCCCACCTTCCTTCATTCTACCCTGCATGGGGGGTCTCAGTGTTTACTGAGTCTGAGGGGTCATGCTTTTGCTGGAGCTACAGAACCAGCCCTTGCTCCTGACCTTCCATGGGGCAGCACAGATAAGACATGTGCCTACCTTACCTGAATCCTGGGTTCCAGTGATATCAATATCCTTCCTTCCCCCACCATATAGAACTACTGAATGATAATTAGGCCCTCAACAGAACCTTCCTGCCTAATGTCCCAAAAAGTTGTCACAGAAGGGGAGGCCTGTGGAGTCCACACTTGGTTCTCTGCCTGCCCTTTACGTGACTATTGTTATGGAGGGAAGGGGAGAGGAAGGGAGGGGTCTCATTATCTGAGTATTCAGTGTTCAAGGCCTACAAGTATATAAGATTGATTAGAGAAGCTCATTTCTTTATAATGTGAAGATTTTACTGATTGACTGGCTGCTTGTCAAATGAGTCTTCATGGAAACATTCCCTGCAGTCCCTCCCAGGAGCAACATAAACCTCTCCCTTCTGTGGTAGAGCTCTAGCTAATTGTTTGAACTTGTAAGCAGCTGAAAAGATAATGCAGGTAACAATGCATGTTGGCTTCATATCTTGCCCAAGGTGCAGGATTTCCTAAAGTCACTGAATGTGATGTTGGGCTTCCTAAATCATAGGTAGAAGATGCTGCAGTTAAGCTGGCTCACAGCTGCAGGAGAGAAAAATCCAATCGGTGCTTCTCTACTAAAAATACAAAATTAGCCAGGTATGGTGGCTCATCGCATGCCTGTAATCCCAGCTAGTTGGGAGACTGAGGCAGGAGAATCACTCGAACGTGGGAGGCGGAGGTTGCAGTGAGCCAAGATCGGGCCATCGCACTCCAGTCTGGGCAACAAGAGTGAAACTCTGTCTCAAAAAGAAAACATGAATAATTTGAATGATTTAGAAAAGCCCTTAAGACAATGGATAACCCTCTGCATTTTTTGGGGGGGCGGGGGAGTGGAAATTACTGCCATTATGAACGTGCAGTAGAAATCAAACACAAAGAGAAGAATGTCACTCATTAGAAAAATCTCACCAAAAAATATTAGTGTTTCACTCGTTCTTTTTCATCAGGATTAGAATGTGGTTGTAATTTTGTTAAATGGGAAATATAAAATAGAATAACTTTGGTGAAATGTTTATCTTTTCCACCTATAGACTCAACCTCAAGCATTTTCCCCCAGTGTTTTCTGTAAAATTCTGGTTCCCTGTTTAAATGGATTTACCTTTAAGTGACCCTTTTCTAGGATTGGCATCTTCAAATAACAAAAAGCACCTGTCCTAGTTAAATAAGCATCTGTAACACACCAAGCACTATGCTTCCACTTCCCATATTTTATCATTCGTACCATTTCTAACCCTGCAAGATCACAAATTAAGAGATTCCCAGTCAATGGAGATCACATGCCACAGGTAGAAAGGGCCTTTTTTTTTTTTTTTTTTTTAGCAAAGTCATGTATTTTTCCTTCTTTGCTTTCTAGCTGGCCCACTTCAGCTCAAGCTTATGTCTCTTTTTATAAAACTTACTGAAGGCTACAAGATGTAGCCAAGAGTACAACATCATGAAGATTTTCTATCATTTCCTCTAAAACTCTGCAGGCATGGAGACTGTCTGCTGAGGCGTAGCGGGAACTATTTAACCCTTTGTTTTGCACCCACAAGATGAGCATTACCAAATTTCCAACAGAGACATGCTGGGGCTATGCTATGCCTCCACCCTGCCCCCTCCACAGCCAGCTCCACGTGTCTCAGTCTGTAACTGATAGCATTCTACTTCCTGCCTATACAGGTCAGGGTTTTTCATTGCAAGCAATGGAAATGGACAGTGAGCAGTATATGCAGGAAAATTTGGGGGAAAGTAAATTGAGGAGCTCACACACTCATCATAAGGCTGTAGAACCAGCCTCAGAAATCAGGACCTAGAAAGGCCAGACCACAGCCAAAATCATACCACAAAGCCAATCAGGTGACAGCTGCACCAATGCTGCCACAAAACCTGGCCCCAGCCGGCCCCACTGCTGCCCCTGGCATGCAATATTTATGCCTCCACCAGTTTCCTGTCCCAGCTGGCATGGAAGCTCTGGTCACTGCTGCCACTGCCACTACTTACCATTAATGGCTTTTCCCTGAGATAACAACAAACCTGGCACATCTGTAGAATGCAGGTGAGAAAGAGTGGCCTGTTTCAATTCAAGAGGCATAGTAACAGACTTGGATGCAAGTCACCAGGTTGTGATTCAAGGCCTGGAGCATTTGCATCCAACTGACAGAGGCTAGTCCTGTGCCTGCCTCTAGCTGCAAGGGAGGCAGTAAAAGCAAGGTTCTGCTACTTTCAGCTTCATCACTGGGGGGTGGGCTTTGTTTCCCACCAAGTCATAAGGTGGGGTTTTCCCACCCACAGGATGGGATTTCAAATGCTAATCAGCAACACTTCCAGCACCCGCAGCCAAAAAACATATTTTCTGTGTCATCTAATCTTACAGCCCTGCAAGGTGAGTTGTGTGAACACCATTTTATGGACACAGAAGCTAAGACTCAAAAACTCAAAGCACTGTGCTCTAGGTCACACAGCTACTAAGTGCAAAGCTGGGAGTCCAACTCCAAAGCCTGCAGCCTCTTTGTTGCTCAGAGCCACCTCCTGAGGGGCTTCCTCTGGCCTCGTTGGGTCTGATTGTGAGTAGCCCCTTATGCTGGCCTCTGCACAAAAGGCATCCCCTGCTGAGTGGCTCCCTTGTTTGGTCTTCATCTTTGCCTGTGTCACTTGGTTAGTTTCACTGTCTTGAGTTCCCCCACTGAACTTGAAGTCCAGGGGCCATGAATTACCCTTCCTGCAGCTCTCCTCAGCCCCCGTGTATTCATCTGAAGTGCTGCCACATTTTTGGGTTGATCAACTTTGACCAAATGGACACAGCCCGTCCTGAATTCTCATTCCTGAACTAGTTTCCTGTGACTCTAAATGATTTCACTACTCTCTGCATCAGTATGCATTGAAGTATCTTTATATTAGAGAAAGCTAAATTCAAGGACTTAATGTAGCTTCTGTCTCTCTTTTATATAATATAGTCTTTAACACATAAACAACTACAACTTAAGGATCAATTATCCCGATACCCATTTCTGTTCGGTAGGACACATATCCTTTAAGTGCCACCACTGGATTAAAATAATGTAGAATAAAAGGCTGGGCACAGTGGCTCGCACCTGTAATCCCAGGATATTGAGAGGCTTAAGTGGGAGGATCACTTGAGCCCAGGAGTTTGAAACCAACCTGGGCAACATGGTGAAACCTTGTCTCTACAAAAAATACAAAAATTATCCGGGCACAGTGGCATGTGCCTTTAGTCCCGGCTACTTGAGAGGCTGAGGCGGGAGAATCACTTGAGCCCGAGAAGTCAAGGCTGCAGTGAGACGAGATAGTGCCACTGCACTCCAGCCTGGGCGACAGGAGTGAGGCCCTGTCTCAAAACAAAAACAAAAAAAAGAAAGAAAAGAAAAGAAAAATACCGCTTCTGGTACCACATGCAACCAGTTTACGTGAACCTACCCCAGTTGTCAAGATGGCACACCCTTCCACCTGCACATGAGTTTCATCTCTGAGCCCTAACTGCAGGCTAGAGCCAGGAGAGCTGGTGGCCTTGGAACCAAACAGACGGGCCTTGAACTCTGGTTTTGATGCTCCCTAGCTATTCAACTTTACAAGCTTCTTAATCTCTCTGGGCCTCAGTTCCTATCACGTTAGAAATGTTTGAGGATTAAATGAAACTGTCACTAAAGCACCTGGCATGCAGCAGGTGCTCTATCCATGTGGCAATCATTATTTTTACTATTCAGCGTCTGGTGCTGGTTGAAGCCCTGCCTAGCCCAGTGGCTATTTCATCAGTCTGTCCCTGGAGTTGCTGTGTTTGTCAGCTTAGCAGGACTATTAATATCATTATCACAAGTAATTATCAATAACCACAGAAACAGCTTCTCAAGAGACCTGCAGCAGTGAAATGACAGCTGCTAGACACACAAGCACAATAGCATCGGCCTCTGGCAACCCCACCGACTTTGGAAATAGGACTCAGAAAGAACTCCCCACCCTGCTCCCACCTCCCAGGGGTGCTGTCATCCTACCCACTCTCTCGTGCTCCTCGGGGGGCGGGACACACTCTCAATACAGAAGCTTCCCATCCTGACTGTAGGCCTGATTTCCGGTCTTAGATGGGGAATACTAGCCCTCTGTGGGGAGTATAGATAACTCAGTGATTGAGGGGATGCCCACAGGAAAGTTACGATCTGCCCCATTATCTCTAAGGATATGGTCCCTGAGGCTTTGCCTTTAAGCTGCCCTTTTCTTTTTTAAATATCAATCTTGACAGCGGCTCCATTTAAGTCAGTAAAGGCAGTCTCTGTAGACACCAGGGAAGAGTTGATACAAAAATGCCCTTTGTGTAGTAGGTCAAGAGGGCAGTATACACTGAAGTCACACTGCCCAGTGTCCAGCCCTGCTGTGCGACTGACCAGCTTGCCAACCTTGGGCCAGTTCTGCAACCCCTAAGCTTCTGTCACCTCATTTGTGAAATGGATTTGCTCCTATCACATGGGGTTGTTGGAAAGGTTCAATGGGATGTTCGTGGCATTTAGCATCCTGCAGATACTAGCCTGGAGATGAAGCAGTGTGCATCATGCATACTACATGCTCAATGAATGTTCACTTATAAAGAAAGGAAAAGTCAGAATGAAACCTGGAACAGGAAAGTCTGGTCGTTTGTGGAAGGAGAGGAAGGACTGTGCTGGGCGGAGGAACCTGACCTCCCTCTGGGCTTCAGTGCACCTTCCGGAATGCACTCTGACCATGTTTAACATTCCGCGATTTTTCTCTTGCAGCTGAATCGGAGTGATAGTGACAGCTCCACTCTGTCCAAAAAGCCACCTTTTGTTCGAAACTCCCTGGAGCGACGCAGCGTCCGGATGAAGCGGGTAAGAGTCACCTCGAAGCTATTTTTCTGCTCCTCCCCCATTGCCCCAAGCCCTGTGTCCTGCACACACATCTCCTGATGGCTGGCCATTTCTCCTCAGCCACTGGCTTGAAAAATGTTGCTCTCGCAAGCATGCTGGTATTTGCGAACAGATGTTTGTGAACTATGAGGCCTGTGTAGCCACTGGGGAAGGTGCCAAAGGGTAAATGTATTTGTCTTATTATGACAAATAGGTTAGATGAGAAGTGTGTATACTTGGCCTTGCCTTCTTAGATAGAAATCAAAGTCAGTAAGAACTGACCAACCCAGCTGGGCACAGTGGCTCACACCTGTAATCCCAACAGTCTGGGAGGCTGAGGTGGGAAGATTGATCACCTAAGGTCAGGGGTTCAAGACCAGTCTGGCCAACATGGTGAAACCCCATCTCTACTAAAAATACAAAAATTAGCTGGGTGTGGTGGTGCGCACTTGTAGTCCCAGGCTGTACTTGGGAGGCTGAGGCAGGAGAATCGCTTAAACTCAGGAGGCAGAGGTTGCAGTGAGCCAAGATTGTACCACTGCACTCCAGCCTGGACGACAGAGTGAGACTCCGTCTCAAAAAACAAAAAAAGAACTAACCAACCCAACATGTCACAGTCATCAGTCAGAGAGCATCATCTGACAGGAGCCTTCCTCATGCAAGACTCTGCTCAGTGTGTCTGTCATCCAGGTCCCGTGACCCTCCTGCTGGCAGAGAAGCTTTTTCGAACCTTTTTCGAACAAAAGGTGCTCAGAAGCCTCTGAGCACCAGCCTGAAGCAGGGAAGCCCAAGGGAAAAGGCTGCAGATTTGCCCTGCAGAAGCCTCCTGGCCTTTCCTAGTGGAGACTGAGTTGACTGATCTGGATGGGGTAGGGGTAGGCAAAGGAGCGACCCCTGATTTGTGTTTGACCACTAAGGGCTGCAGCAGATGCGGGGGGCCCTCCCCACTTTGGGCTTTCAACACAAGTTTAAAGCAGTTCTGTCTAATGAGTTTGCAGAACTGGAAGAAACCAGGAGCCAGAATGTCAGAAAGAAAAAAAGAAGAAAGAAAGCAAAGCAAAAGAGAGCATGGAGGGAAAAGATAGTGCCAACAGCCCCCAGTAGGGGCAGGCACCCCCTCCTCCTGCACTGCTTGCTGACAGCCAGAATCTGATCCTTTGCCTGACATCCTACACCCTAACAAGTCTGAGGGGGAGCTGGAGAGAGCAAGAGAGACACAGCAACGCAGGAGAGACTGCACAGGGAAGGGAGAGTGAGTGGGTGTGGGAGAAAGTGGACGTGGCCTCAGGTGACGGAGACAACTGCCCACTCTGGGTCCCCCACCCCAACCCCCTCTTCTGTAGCTGGCTTGTACTGCAGTCTCTGGAGCACCAAAAGTTACCTAAGGAGCTTGGTGACAATGCAGATTGCAAGGCCACACTTCTGACCATTTAATTCAGGCAGCTGGCATGGGCCCTGAAAACTGCATTTTAACAAAGCTCCTTAGGAGCTTCTGGAGCAGATATTCATGATCCACCTCTGCAGAAATGCCTCTGATCTCCTACTTGCTCCCCCTGCATTTCCCACAGCTCCCTTCTAAGGCAGGCCCCACAGAAGCAGGCCCCCTTCATCATCCCCTGTTCCCCTTATCCAAGAGGATGACTTACTAAGGGAGCCCCTGATGGTGGGTCTGAGCCCACATTTCCCTCGGGTCGGGAGAGTCCAGAGGCTGAGCCTGGGCCCTTGGGCACTGCTCCTTGCTTCCACGCACTGCCTGAGCTGTGTTCTCTCTACTGCAGCCTGCCCAGCTTCTGAGACTGGACATGGGTCAGACGAAGCAAAAGAATCTTTATTTGTTGCTCTGAGTACTTGAGCCATGTAGATCATTCAGCTGAATTTCCTTGATCCTGCTCGTTTTTAAGCACAGAGCAGACCACGTTCAACCTAGAAGAGTGTTCTAGAAATTCTTCCTAGAGCTGTCTTATGTTCCTAATAGTATGCTTGCCAGCCTTGCAAAATGAGACTAGGTCTTATGGTAATGCTTCTTATGCTGTGTCTGAGATCTCTTTATTGGTCATTGTATTTGTTTTCTATTGCTACATAACAAATCACCACAAACTTTAACAGCCTAAAATAATACAAATGCCTTACCTCACAGTTTCCGCAGGTCAGGAGTTCAAGCACAGGTTAGCTGAGCCCTCTACCCAGGGTTGTAGCAGGCTGAAACCTCTAAGTGTTAAATGGCCACATCCTCATCTGGAGTCTTGACTAAGGAAACATCTGCATCCAGGCACTGCCTCCAGTTGTTGGCAGAATTTATTGCCTTGTAGTTTCTTGCTAGCTGTCAGCTGGGGGGTTGGGGGAGCATTTTCAGCTCCTAGAGTCACTCTCAGGTTTTTGCCCTGTGGCCATCTCTACAACATGCTTTATTTACTTCTTCAAGGCCAGCAGAAGAGCCCAGCCAGGAAAAGCCCAGGCCGTCTTTTAGGGGCTTACCTGATTAAGTCAGGACCATCTGGAATAATCTTCCTTTTGATTAACTCAAAGTCAACTGATTAGTGGGAGTGATAGTTCATATTCACAGGTCACATTGGAATTGAAGGAGAGGAGATTATACAGGGCATGTATATTAGGAATGGGATTTGAGAAACCATTTTAGAATTCTGACTCCCATAGTTGTGAATTACTGGTTTTTAATCATTAGTGATTTGTGATGGGAGGAGAGTTAATGGTCAAATTAATCAGGGTCTTTTACATATAGATAACTGAAGAAACTAACTCAAATACAGCTTAAAAATGAAAGAGGGAATTTGTTGTCGAATTTAATGAAGAAATCCAGGATGTTGAACTACCTTCAGGCATGGCTTGATCCAAAGTTTGAAATGATGTCATCAGGCCTCAGCCCCCTACTCATGGCGTTGCTCCCTCTGTACAGCTTAATTCTCAAACAGGTCACCCCACAAGTAAAGATGATCATGATTAGTCCCAGGTTTATATCTTGAAGGCTTAGCAACATCGGTGTAAAGACATTGCCTCTTTTCCAAGCAGTTCAGCAAAGTGCCAGAATGGAGTATTAATGGTTGGGCTTTGATAACATACTCACCTCTGAACCTGTCACTGAGATTCAGATTGGCCAGGTTCAGGTCACATTCCTATCCCTGATGCCCCACACAAACCAGGTGGATTGAGTGCAGAGGAGGAGATCTCCAAGGGAAGGTGAGGGCATTGTTACTCTAAGGCTGGGAAAACAAACGCTGGACAAGCAGAAACAATAGGGGCCCATTATAGGAACACAAAATCAAGAAGACATGACTTCTGCCCTCAAGCGGGAACAGACCTGTACTGGGGAAACAACTTTAGAACAGTACAGTGACAGGAATCGGTAACTGAGAACGTACATATGGAGGGTGCGGAGAGTACTGCAACTGGCACAGTGTACAGAGAGGGCAGGTGGGGACTGCAGCCAGCTCCCTGGAGTGGAACTTCAACTTTACCACGCATGCCCGCCCTGTGGGACTTAACCTCTGCAAGCCTCCTTGGTGCAGATGATAACCCTCAGGACCTCCTAGGTTTGTGAACATGAAACGAGGTTATGGAAATGAAGTGCTTAGTACCATTCCTGGGACATAATAAATGCCCAGTAAACATGAGCTGAATGGGAGAATTCACAACAGGCTTCCCAGGGAAGGGGAAGCCCCATTCAGAAGGAGTGGATGCCTACAGATAAGCAAAGAGAGCGTATTTGAGGGTCAGAGGAAGGGGCTGGGTGGGCTCAGTGGGCAGAGCTCTAATAACAAGAGAAGCCATCCCCACCCCTACAGCCTTCCTCGGTCAAGTCCCTGCGCTCTGAGCGTCTGATCCGCACCTCGCTGGACCTGGAGTTAGACCTGCAGGCGACAAGAACCTGGCACAGCCAACTGACCCAGGAGATCTCGGTGCTGAAGGAGCTCAAGGAGCAGCTGGAACAAGCTAAGAGCCACGGGGAGAAGGAGCTGCCGCAGTGGTTGCGTGAGGATGAGCGTTTCCGCCTGCTGCTGAGGATGCTGGAGAAGCGGGTGAGTGCAGCCTCGAAGGCAGGGGAGTCCTGCGCTCTGCCCCAAAGAGTCAGGGGCCACTGCCCCAGGGAAGAGAGGCCAGAGCTCATGATGCATCCTACAATTCCCACCACAGCTTCCACTGAGGGTGTTCCACCCATCCCTCGTTCCCATCAGCAGAGGGATCCAGGAATCCCTTTGCCTACTCAACGTTATGAACCTTTCACCTGGCTGCAAGGCCCATTTACTGCATTTGTTGATGTGTTTTTGTATGCAAGCCCTTACTGTTCACACATGTACTCATCATGCAGCTCTTCATGAAATACATTGGGGACCCAATCTGTGCCACAGCACCCACTTTAACAGAGTAACAATAGGACACTGACCTGCCTCGGTGCCTGCCCAGGAAATCCCACAGGGCAGCCCTTGCCAAAGGAGGAGAAGGGCTGGTCACACCAGGGCCTTCTGCTAACAAGGGTGCCCTGGAGTACAAGTCTGCTAGCACCTCTGCCCTGCTACAATAAATTTAAGGGATTTAGGGGTTGATCAAGGAGAAAAATATAACCTCAAAATGGTGTTAGCACACAAGTTTTATATTAGCTGTGCTTTTTTTTTTTTTTTTTTTTTTTTTTTGGAAGACATATTTTCTCTCTGTCGCCCAGGCTGGAGGGTGGTGGTATGATGGCTCACTGCTGCCTCTATCTCCCAGGCTCTATCGATCCTCCCACCTTAGCCTCCTGAGTAACTGGGATGACAGGTGCATACCAATATGCCCGGCTAATTTTTGTATTTTCTGTAGACATGGGGTTTCACCATGTTGCCCAGGCTGGTCTCGAACTCCTGGGCTCAATCAACCCACCTCGGCCTCCCAAAGTGCTGGGATTACAGGCGTGAGCCGGCGTGCCTGGCTTGCGCTACACTTTGACAGGTTTGCATGCCGGGGAAGCCCCTCACAGCATGAGACCTTCCAAAGGTGCTGGGGCTACTGCCCAGTGTGGAGGAAGGCAAGGGAACTCCCAGGGGAGAGCTGGGGAAGAGGGGCCATCTAGGTTAGGTAGCTCTGCAGCACAATGGGGAGTCTCTGGGTCAGGGAACTCCAAAGCACAGCAGCAGCTTGGGGTCTCTTACAGGTCCAGGCTTTATCTATGGCTAGCGAGTCGTTGGGTACAATTTCACAGGGTATGCGAAACTGGAAGGTTGTATATTTGAAAGTTGCTTATTTGAGTTATATTTAAAACAACTGGAAGGGTAAAAATTTGAGTGTGGCACCAGCAGGCTTTTAAGGTCCCAACAGGTCCCGGACTGCCATGAAGAAACAAACAATATAGGGCCAATATCCAAGGGCCATTCTCTACTCCTTTATGAAAAATAATACCTGCCACTCTGTGATCACCACCCATGGCAAGAAAGACCTTTGCTAGTTCTCTCTGCACACAGCCAGTCTCGCTGAGAGTACCTTACAGAGGGTGCCTACCTGAACTGTCAGGACCATCAGCTGAAATCTCAGTGCTCAGGGCAGGTGGTGATGCCCTACGGCAGGAAGATCATGCTGGACTTCTTAGGCCTGGACTGATGTGGGAGCTTCAGACTGACTCTGGCAGCTCTGAAGTTCCAGAAAAGTTTATTTCTTTCTTATTTATACCCTGTTTACTTATAAACAGGATTATAACAAGAGCATTGAGGGGAAAATAGAAAATTGGAAGGCTTGAAGGAGGAGAGGGAATAAATATATCCCAAACCTAAAGTAACCTAATAATAGGTATTATATTGATCTTTGAGCTTCCTGGTAGCCAAGGCAAAAAGAGATCAGAAAACAAGTGCCTATGTGCCCTACCTTAACACTTGATCTTAGTCAAAAGACTGAGAAGTAATACGTGCCCTGACTTAAGAAAAACAAACTGAGAAAACTTAACCTTTCAAATAGTAAAAAAAAGTAACATCTATGACTTCTAACAAAGAACCATTGAAATGATGGCTTTATTTACCAAAATTCTGTCTTTGTGCAATGTTTTCAAGTATATGGTACATGGATATTTTAGGGCTGTCTGTGGTTTGTTCTCAAAAGTGTTTGCATACATTTACATTAGGAAGAAGGGGCATAGTGTTATATCCAAGCCTCTTAAGAACTACTGCATGGCTTGGGACTGGGTTTCCACCACTTCTTAGTAGTCTGACATTAAAGGAATTTCTTACTATGCTGGAGCCTCAGTTCCCTGGGTAAAATAGAGGTAATAACGTCTACCTTCCTGGGTGGCCTGAGGATTAGAGGTAGTGTACATTTCACCAGGCAGCCCTCATCTCCTCAATTCCTCAGATCCACACAGGTATTCTGTTTCCTGGCCCCAAAAATCTAGTCACTCAAACAGATGATTTGAGCACTTCGCATTATGGTTCTGAAAGAAGTGGATCCCACGGGGAGCAGGAGTGAGGGTGCCGTCCCTACAGGAGCCCCCTCCATTGTGATAGGGAGTTCTCCTTGCCCCTTTCTGAAGGACCCCTCCACTGACTCAGGGCCCTGCTTGCTTTGCCCAGCAGATGGACCAAGCAGAGCACAAGGGTGAGCTTCAGACAGACAAGATGATGAGGGCAGCTGCCAAGGATGTGCACAGGCTCCGAGGCCAGAGCTGTAAGGAGCCCCCAGAAGTGCAGTCTTTCAGGTAAGCAGAGGGCCCCGACAGCCCCCTCTCCCTTTCTCAGCCAACCCACGGCCTTAGTCTTCTGTCTGTGGTCTTACTGCTCCCATGCCTTGCTCACAGAGCACTGGCTTTCTCTGTAACAGATGTTCATCCTCTGCCAAGCCATCCCTGGCGATCCATGAGCTCTGCAGCACTCTTCCCCCGGCTGTCTTTATCAGTCCCCACACAACTCGAGCTAATTTGTTAGATCCTCTTGTTTAATGAATGAGCCACCTGCTCCAGCCTTTCCTCGTAGTGTTTTCATCGCTGGTAATTGTGGAGGGTTGGCTGAATGATAAATAAGCCTGTGGGTGATGGATGCTCGCTGGGCCTCCCTGGCTCTGCCTGCCACCTGCTAGGATCCCAGGGAGGTGCTTTCTTGCCATGCCGGACCCGGATGTATTCTTGGAGGGTCCCAAATGCCATTTGGCCTGGGCCTCCCACCCACGGAGGCCCTAGCATTTAGACTTCTGATGTTCTCTCAGATAAGGTACACATGTTTGTGTATGTGCTAAAAAAAATTCCTTTGTGGAATATAAACATTTAAAATGTACATTTGTACAAGTATCTTTGGGCATCTCTTAACTTTTTAACAAATTGAGAATCGAAACAAACAAACATTGGAAGTGGCCCAAGGATCCTTTTAAACTCTGAGAAGCCTCTGATTTGATTTGAACTAAGGGTCATTGTTCATGCTAATGGTCTTTAAAGCAGTGGTTCTCAACTAGGGGTGATTTCTCCCCTTCCCCCTGGAAAATTTGGCAATGAGCATGCATTTTGGGTTGTCGTAACTGGAGGTCAAGGATACGGCCAGCATCTAGAGGGTAGAGGCCAAGGACGTTGCTACATATTCTACAGTGAATGTATAGGACAGCCCCCATGACAAAGAATTATCCTGCCCAGAATCTCTGTAGAGTAAGGTTGAAAACCCCTGCTCCTGCTCTAAAGGGATCATCTCTCTTATAGGGAGAAGATGGCATTTTTCACCCGGCCTCGGATGAATATCCCAGCTCTCTCTGCAGATGACGTCTAATCGCCAGAAAAGTATTTCTTTTGTTCCACTGACCAGGCTGTGAACATTGACTGTGGCTAAAGTTATTTATGTGGTGTTATATGAAGGTACTGAGTGACAAGTCCTCTAGTGCTCTTGTTGGTTTGAAGATGAACTGATTTTTTAGTTTGGGTCCTACTGTTGTTATTAAAAACAGAACAAAAACAAAACACACACACACACACACAAAAACAGAAACAAAAAAAAAAAAACCAGCATTAAAATAATAAGATTGTATAGTTTGTATATTTAGGAGTGTATTTTTGGGAAAGAAAATTTAAATGAACTAAAGCAGTATTGAGTTGCTGCTCTTCTTAAAATCCTTTAGATTTTTTTCAGTTTGTACAGCTCCACCTTTTAGAGGTCTTACTGCAATAAGAAGTAAAGCCTGGGGGACGGTAATCCTAATAGGACGTCCCGCACTTGTCACAGTACAGCTAACTTTTCCTAGTTAACATATTTTGTACAATATTAAAAAAATGCACAGAATCCATTGTTGGGGGGAGGGATTCAGAGGTGCATCCATGGATCTTCTTGAGCTGTGACGTGTTTTTATGTGGCTGCCCAACGTGGAGCGGGCGGTGTGATAGGCTGGGCGGGCTAAGCAGCCCAGTCTATGTGGGTAACAGGCCACGCTGGTCTCAGATGCCCAGTGAAGCCACTAACATGAGTGAGGGGAGGGCTGTGGGGAGCTCCATTAAGTTTTATCTCCATCAATAAAGTGGCCTTTCAAAAAGAATCTTCCTCTTGCTCTCTTTTTCTTTCCTACCCCTCACTTCATCTGTTTCCCTGATTTTTAGTCTCCCCTTTCCAGTCATTTCTTTCCCACCCATCCCGAGTCCTGGAAACATTTGTTTTTTTGTTTTGCCCACTGTTTTCATTTGCTCATGAAATTAAAATGACAGCTCGGCTCATTGGGAATCCACATGCCCAAGTTAGATTGGGGATATGCTCTCTGTGCTGTCGCCTTCCATGGAATTCCACCCCACCCAATGAGAACTGACACCATTTCTTCATATGAGCATCATTCTGTGTCATCCCTAACCCAGGGGTAGTAGATGCTACAGCTTGTGCTTCATGCTGCTCCTGTGGCCCCTATCCCTACCCAGCTCAGAGCTTTGCAGGGTTTATTGCAGACAATCAGAAGTCAGCTTCTAACAAATAGCAACAGCCACAAATCTCTTCCTCCTTTCTCTCTGACATTACCCTGTGCAACTTTTCTCAGTCTGTTGCACCACCCAGCAAAGCATGTTGCACCAGCTATATCAGAATCACCTGGGGCAGCCTATTAAATATACGGACTATTGAGACCATCCTGGCTAACACAGTGAGACCCTGTCTCTACTAAAAATACAAAAAATTAGCTGGGCGTGGTGGTGGGCACCTGTAGGCCCAGCTACTCGGGAGGCTGAGGCAGAATGACGTGAACCCGGGAGGTGGAGCTTGCAGTGAGCCAACATTGCACCACTGCACTCCAGCCTGGGTGACAGAGTGAGACTCAAAAAAAAAGAAAAAAAAGGGCGTGCCCAAGATGGCCGAATAAGAACAGCTCCAGGCTCCAGCTCCCAGCATGAGCGACACAGAAGACGGGTGATTTCTGCATTTTCAACTGAGGTACTCGGTTCATCTCACTGGGGCGTGTCGGACAGTTGGCACTGGTCTGCAGTGCAGCGTGACCGGCGAGAGCAGAAGCAGGGCAAGGCATTGCCTCACCTGGGGAGCTCAAGAGGGAAGGGAATTCCTTTTCCTAGCCAAAGGAAATTGAGACACACAACACCTGGAAAATTGGGTAGCTCCCACCCTAATACTGCGCTTTACCAAGGGTCTTAGCAAATGGCACACCAGGATATTATATTCCACACCTGCCCAGAGGGTCCCATGCCCACGGAGCCTCCCTCATTGGTAGCACAGCAGTCTGAGATCTAACTGCAAGGTGGCAGTGAGGCTGGGGGAGGGGCATCCACCATTGCTGAGGCTTAAGTAGGTAAACAAAGCTGCCGGGAAGCTCGAATTGGGTGGAGGAGCTCAAGGAGGCCAGCCTGCCACTGTAGACTCCTCCTCTAGGGACAGGGCATAGCTAAACAAAAAGCAGCAGAAACCTCAGCAGAGGTAAATGCCCCCGTCTGACAGCTTTGAAGAGAGCAGTGGATCTCCTAGCACAGAGGTTGAGATCTGAGAACGGACAGACTGCCTGCTCAAGTGGATCCTTGACCCCTGAGTAGCCTAACTGGGAGACATCCCCCACTAGGTGCAGACCGACACCTCACACCTCACACGGTGGGGTACACCCCTGAGACGAAGCTTCCAGAGCAAGAATCAGACAGCAACACTCTCTGTTCAACAATATTCTATCTTCTGCAGCCTCCGCTGCTGATACCCAGGAAAACAGGGTCTGGAGTGGACCTCAAGCAAACTCCAACAGACCTACAGCTGAGGGTCCTGACTGTTAGAAGGAAAACTAACAAACAGAAAGGACACCCACACCAAAACCCCATCAGTACATCCCCATCATCAAAGACCAAAGGCAGAGAAAACCACAAAGATGGGGAAAAAGCAGTACAGAAAAGCTGGAAATTCAAAAAATCACAGCGCATCTCCCCCTCCAAAGGAATGCAACTCATCACCAGCAACAGAACAAAGCTGGACGGAGAATGACTTTGACGAGTTGAGAGAAGGCGGCTTCAGTCGATCAAACTTCTCAGAGCTAAAGAACTACGTAACCAGCGCAAAGAAATGAAAAACCTTGAAAAAAGAATGGATGAATGGATAACTAGAATAATCAATGCAGAGAAGACCTTAAAAGAACTGATAGAGATGAAAACCATAACACAAGAACTACATGACAAATGCACAAGCTTCAGTAACTGACTCGATCAACTGGAAGAAAGAGTATCAGTGATTGAAGATCAAATGAATGAAATGAAGCGAGAAGAGAAGTGTAGAGAAAAAAGCATAAAAAGAAATGAACAAAGTCTCCAAGAAATATGGGATTATGTGAAAAGACCAAATCTACGTCTGATTGGTGTGCCTGAAAGTGACAGGGAAAATGGAACCAAGTTGGAAAACACTCTGCAGGTTGTCATACAGGTGAACTTCCCCAACCCAGTAAGGCAGGCCAACATTCAAATTCAGGAAATACAGAGAATGCCACAAAGATACTGCTCGAGAAGAGCAACTCCAAGACACATAATTGTCAAATTCACCAAAGTTGAAATGAAGGAAAAAATGTTAAGGGCAGCCAGAGAGAAAGGTTGGGTTACACGCAAAGGGAAGCCCATCAGACTAACAGCAGGTCTCTCGGCAGAAACTCTCCAAGCCAGAAGAGAGTGGGGGCCAATATTCAACATTCTTAAAGAAAAGAATTTTCAACCCAGAATTTCATCTCCAGCCAAACTAAGTTTCATCAGTGAAGGAGAAATAAAACCCTTTACAGACAAGCAAATGCTTAGAGATTTTGTCACCACCAGGCCTGCCCTACAAGAGATTCTGAAGGAAGCACTAAACATGGAAAGGAACAACAGGTACCAGCCATTGCAAAAACATGTCAAAATGTAAAGTCCATCGATGGTAGGAAGAAACTGCATCAACTAGTGAGCAAAATAACCAGCTAATATCATAATGACAGGATCAAGTTCACACATAACAATATTAACCTTAAATGTAAACATGCTAAATGATCCAATTAAAAGACCCAGACTGGCAAATTGGATAAAGAGTCAAGACCCATCAGTTTGCTGTATTCAGGAGACCCATCTCACATGCAGAGACACAGATAGGCTCAAAATAAAGGGATGGAGGAAGATCTACCAAGCAAATGGAAAACAAAAAAAAGCAAGGTTTGCAATCCTAGTCTCTGATAAAACGGACTTTAAACCATCAAAGATGAAAAGAGACAACGAAGGCCATTACATAATGGTAAAGGGATCAATTCATCAGGAAGAGCTAACTATCCTAAATATATATGCACCCAATACAGGAGCACCCAGATTCATAAAGCAAGTCCTTAGAGACTTACAAAGAGACTTAGACTCCCATACAATAATAATGGGAGACTTTAACACTCCACTGTCAACATTAGACAGATCAACAAGACAGAACGTTAACAAAGATATCCAGGAATTGAACTCAGCTCTGCACCAAGCAGACCTAATAGACATCTACAGAACTCTCCACCCCAAATCAACAGAATATATATTCTTCTCAGCACCACATCACACTTATTCCAAAATTGACCACATAGTTGGAAGTAAAGCACTCCTCAGCAAATGTAAAAGAACAGAAATTGTAACAAACTGTCTCTCAGACCACAGTGCAATCAAACTAGAACTCAGGACTAAGAAACTCAATCAAAACCACTCAACTATATGGAAACAGAACAACCTGCTCCTGAATGACTACTGGGTACATAACGAAATGAAGGCAGAAATAAAGATGTTCTTTGAAACCAATGAGAACAAAGATACAATATACCAGAATCTCTGGGACACATTTAAAGCAGTGTGTAGAGGGAAATATATAGCACCAAATGCCCACAAGAGAAATCAGGAAAGATCTAAAATTGACACCCTAACATCAAAATTAAAAGAACTAGAGAAGCAAGAGCAAACACATTCAAAAGCTAGCAGAAGGCAAGAAATAACTAAAATCAGAGCAGAACTGAAGGAGATAGAGACACAAAAAAACCTCCAAAAAATATATGAATCCAGGAGCTGGTTTTTTGAAAAGATCAACAAAATTGATAGACCGCTAACAAGACTAATAAAGAAGAAAAGAGAGAAGAATCAAATAGATGCAATAAAAAATGATAAAGGGGATATTACCACCAACCCCACAGAAATACAAACTACCATCAGAGAATACTATAAACACCTCTATGCAAATAAACTAGAAAACCTAGAAGAAATGGATAATTTCCTGGACACTTACACTCTCCCAAGACTAAACCAGGAAGAAGTTGAATCTCTGAATAGACCAATAGCAGGCTCTGAAATTGAGGCAATAATTAATAGCCTACCAACCAAAAAAAGTCCAGGACCAGACGGATTCACAGCTGAATTCTACCAGAAGTACAAGGAGGAGTTGGTGCCATTCCTTCTGAAACTATTCCAGTCAATAGAAAAAGAGGGAATCCTCCCTAACTCATTTTATGAGACCAACATCATCCTGATACCAAAGCCTGACAGAGATACAACAAAAAAAGAGAATTTTAGACCAATATCCTTGATGGACATCAATGCAAAAGTCCTCAATAAAATACAGGCAAACCGAATCCAGCAGCACATCAAAAAGCTTATCCACCATGATCAAGTGGGCTTCATCACTGGGATCCAAGGCTGGTTCAACATACGCAAATCAATAAACGTAATCCATCATATAAACAGAACCAACGACAAACACCACATGATTATCTCAATAGATGCAGAAAAGGCCTTTGACAAAATTCAACAGCCCTTCATGCTAAAAACTCTCAATAAACTAGGTATTGATGGGACGTATCTCAAAATAATAACTGTTTATGACAAACCCACAGTCAATATCATACTGAATGGGCAAAAACTGGAAGCATTCCTTTTGAAAACTGGCACAAGACAGGGATGCCCTCTCTCACCACTCCTGTTCAACATAGTGTTGGAAATTCTGGCTAGTGCAATCAGGCAAGAGAAAGAAATCAAGGGTATTCAGTTAGGAAAAGAAGTCAAATTGTCCCTGTTTGCAGATGACATGATTGTATATTTAGAA